CAGGGGCACTCAAGCAGAAAGGGCGAAGAGAAAGTCAAGGCTTTGACAGAACAGAAAGAGAAAACAGAAACTGAAAAAGATAAAAGACAGATTGAACTATGTAGAAAAAGGAGTACAGGTAGTCCTTGCCTAACAACCATTTGTTTAGTGACTCTTAGAAGTTACGATGATGCTGAAAAAAGTGACTTACTACCAGTCCTTGCACTTATGACATCGCAGGGTCCTTGCAGTCACGTGATCGCAATTTGGGCGCTTGGCAACTGTTGTGCATTTATGACATGGTCACCTGATCGCCATTTGCGACCTTCCCAGCCAGCTTCTGACAAGCAAAGTCAATGTGGCAGGAGGTTGCAAATCGTGGGCATGTAATGTCTCACTTAATGGCCTGGGTGATTCACTTAACAACTAAAACTGAGACTACTGGAAGTGCTGTCGCTAAGCAGGGTGGTCATTTTTGCTTAACAACCACTTCGGTTAGCGATGGATTTGCCAGTCCCAATTAGGGTCGTTAAGCAAGGACTACTGTACCTGTATAGCTCTATAGAGAGTGACAGTAGAGAATAGTAATAAGGTATGAACATATAGTAAAATTGGACTTTAAAGAATATAGTGCAGATAAGAGCTTATAGATAATAGATGGTTAAAATAGAAAATTGTTTTACTGTTAAGATTCATTTCTGCACTAGTTAAAGGCATTTTATAATTTGCAATTTCTTTTTTTATTATAATTATTTTGTAAGCTTTCCTTTTGTAAAATAAAAGTTTCCCTCCCAGCCATTGAAGGGAAAAATAAAAACCCAATCAATTGTCAAAGTTTCCAGTGCTTTGTGGCTATTGAGTCTGGGTCAGTCTGGTTATTGGTGGTTCAAAAAAAGAACCCGCGACACTGTTAAATCCACATGTGATGTCACATGTTGAATTCAACATATTAATTAATTAATTAGAGTTATCCTGCCTTTATTTTTTGTCATTCAAGGCAGCGTACATACCTAATGCTCCCACCTCCTATTTTCTCCACAATAACAACCCTGTGAGTTGGTTGCATCGTCTATATCTGTTTTACAACACTAGGAAAAATACTACTCTTGCTTTTTTCTAATAGCCATAATGTGTGCCGTAAAGCCAGATGGAGTTCCTCAACTCTGCCGAACAGATGAAGTTGGTGAACTCTGTGTATGCGCTATTGCAACAGGTACATCTTACTATGGACTCTCTGGAATGACCAAAAATACATTTGAGGTGAGTTGGAGTTGGACAGAACTGTTAACTTCATGTTTTAAAAAAAAGTTTGGATTCACATTCATAGAAATGATCCATTTGTGAGGCTGCATTTCTCAATAGTCTAAGTTGGACTATTACTGTCTTCTCCAGTCATTCCCAATCTGAACATCTGCTCCCAGAATTCCTAAGACTGGGAAATGTGGGAGTTGACACTCTACAGTTCTAAAGAGCTCTAGAATAGAGAAAGCTGTTTGATCCTGACTGATAGAGGATAACCAGTAGCAGATTTTCTCAAAATAATGTTTTATTTATGTCTGTGTTCATGTATGTGTTTTATTTTCGCACACGTAGATTATAAATAAAATTGGAAAAGAGTAAGAAGCAAAGGAAATTATAAACTGACTTTGCATGCTGTGAATTGGGCTGCAAAAAGTTCCAAAAATTACCTGCCTGCGAATGCCATTTTTTGTAACAATATATATAGAGGCATTTTTACTAGTTGCAAAAGCTAAGAAAGTAAAAACCTGCTGTCTTAATGCTGCACCCTAGACTACATTGCACCCTAACGCCTTAGTGGGAAAAATAGCAGAATGGTTTTGAGACAGGATCTATACTTTATTAGGCCCTTTCCTAACTCCTGCATTCTATATTTTTCCATTATTTCTGAAAACTTCATTAACTGTTTTCATTTTAGCCATTGCCACCTCTACTTATAATATATTTTATCCCCCTCTCCAGATTAGGCAGAAGGCAGTACCAAGGCTCTGGAGGTACTGGACTGAAATCTGGGGTTTCATGCAAATGTTATTTTCCACTAAGAAATGAAGTGTGCTAGAAGTACAGCATTGCAGTATTTAAATGCTATACCTTTAGTAACATTTTAGTGAATGGCTGGGTTCATACATTGCATTGAGCAGTTTTATGGCTTAGGTTTTAGTGCGTTGTGTAAACCAAGCCATTGTCATTTATAAATCATAGCTCATGGCTTATTGTGTTGTGTCATATACACACAACCAATTATAACTTCAACAAGACAAAATTAGCAAACTATTGCTTAGAACAATAGTCAGTATGGGTGTACAAAAGCCAATACTAGTGTTCTCACAAAGTAGTGGAAGACAGAGGCTTATGTTTCATGTGTAGTAATTTTAATATCTGTCTTCTAGAATCACCTAAACCATCCCCTGCTGATACAGTGGAAATGAACCTCCTCACCATCACTCCTCTGTCTTTCTCACAGGTGTTCCCTATGACTAATTCAGGTGCCCCCATAAGCGAATATCCCTTTATAAGAACTGGACTTCTTGGGTTCATTGGCCCTGGAGGACTTGTTTTTGTTGTTGGTAAAATGGATGGTCTGATGGTTGTCAGTGGGCGGAGACACAATGCAGATGACATCGTAGCTACAGCGTTGGCAGTGGAACCCATGAAGTTTGTCTACAGGGGAAGGTGAGCTTCTGTTTCTTCCCATCCTGATTCTTTTTTGAATAGGATATTGAAAGAGCCCTTCCCTTGCTCAGAGCAAACCTTAGATAAGGTGGTGATCAGGGTTCCAAATAGATTAGCCAACATGCATTAATTACTACTAGAAGGCCTTTATTTAATATCATGTTCAGAAATAAAACCAAGGCATAATGAACCATTGTACTAATTTTGATTTTTAAGTTTCTTATTTACCATAGCAAAAATAAAAAATTGCATGTATTTGGAGCATTTTATTTGGAGTATATGGCATCCTATCACTAAGTTATAGTTAACAACTAAGGCAAGGGGGCCTACGAGATGGGTGCACCATTTTTGTGATTGTTGTTGTCCTCAGCCGCTATTGTTACTCTTTCTGATTATTGTTTTTTTTTAGTTTTTAACATTGTTTGCTGCCCAGAGTCGCTAAAGTTGCAAGATGGGCGGCAGTATAAGCCAACTAAAATAAATAAATAAGTTGTCAGGGCTGCTTAAGGACCAATTAAGACTACATAGAATAAAACAGATCATAGAAAAATATTTAGAGAAAATAGATGAAAACCAATTAGAGACAGAGCAGATATAAAGACCTGGGAAAGAGGCTTTAATCCGGCATCAAACTGGATACCAGGCAAACCCCTTTAGGAAACTCATTACAGGGATGCTACAAATGGAAACAACTTTGCATATTTCCGTTTCTCTAAATAAAAACTTGGGCAGGAATGCTTGTTTTCTTTGCCTTGCTTAGTAAATATTACTCTGAACATATATAGAGCGAAATACTGTTTGCAATGATTGTGTATTACTCTATGGAAAGCCAACATGAGCTTGCTTTTATAATAGCTGTTCTAGTTACTGCTCTATTTTAAACTTCTGTAGGTGTTCAGTGCAGCTGTCTTCTAGAGGAAATAAAGAACCCGGGCTCTAATCTTCTCTGTTGCATAACTAATGAGGACTGAGTCACACAAAACCATGAAAGGGAGTGGCTCTGCTCTTAGCGTTCTTACCCAATTGCAATTGTCTTGGTTTGCACATCCCACAGGATAGCAGTATTTTCAGTGAGTGTCCTTCACGATGAGAGAATAGTCATTGTGGCTGAGCAGAGGCCGGATTCTACAGAAGAAGACAGCTTTCAGTGGATGAGCAGAGTCCTGCAGGTACAAATGCTTAACCTGTAATCAGCAGGGTCAAGTGGGAAGGCATGATGTGCCAAGATAGCCACCTGTTGCCTAAAAGCATAAGCATCCATTGGCACTTGCCGAGAGAGGCAAAACATCTCTAGGCAAAACAGTCCATTCCCCCCCCCTCCCCCAGGCCTTCTGGACAGATGACTACTCTGTCTTTGGTAATAGCTGTAGCAATGGTGGTGTGAACTTGCAGACCCTTTTAAGAAACTCAGGGAATGGAGTGGGAAAAACACAACTTATAACAAGGGGAGGAAATATATAGCAGACTACTCATCCCCAAAGTGCTTGCTAATTAGCTGTTTGTTGATTCTGTAATGGTATTGCCTTGTGGGTGTTGTATTTCTTCCAGTCTGCAGCTTTATATTTTAGTGTGTTGGGCTCTCTTGAACAGTGTTTGTGATTGAAAGGATGGATACCATTTATAAAGAAGCGGAAGTTGCTGGATGCTCAACTCATTGTTTTGTAGTTTTGCAAGACATTTGTAGTTGTACATGAGCTCCCTTAGCCCATAATATATCTCTCCCTCTTTTGGGGGGAATTTTCTTTTACATCCATTTAAATGGCAGAGGAAACACAAGGAGCAAAAAAAAAAAAAAAAAGTTTTAGAGCATTCAAGCAAGGTCTTATAAATAGAGCAACTTAGCACTCCAGATTCTTTTGTAGTTTGCACTAGCTGTGGAGGTATAAGTGTGAGGATCTTGCAAGTTAACATCATCAGGGAAACTACCAAGGAAGGGGAAAACATAAAGATGGGGGAAACCAGGAAAGAACAGGCACTTATTTTGGCTACATGCCATAATGGCACGCAATGAAAGTATAGGATTCTACCAAGGCTGCTCAAAGAAGGATGAATTATGAGTAGGGATGTAAAAGAATTTTACATGGGTGTTTTGAAAGGCAGTTCAAGCAAGAACATCAGGACAGGAGAAAAGGTGGATTTTGCTAAGCAGGAAGGAGATGAGAAAAAAATTATATTTTAAAATATTTATTTTTGTGCATGTTTTAGTGCCTTTTTTTCATTAACTCCATCCCCCTTCATCCCCACTGGCAATTTGAGTAGATAGGACTAGGGGAATACAGTAGTGCATACTCGATTCTCCTCTTAATGGCTCTTGAGTTTTAGAACCTGTTGTCCTTCATCAGCTTTGGGACACAGTGCCTCGTCTTTTCACTGTCCAGTTTATATTATTTTAAATAACTTTATTATAGTGAAGCAATCCTTGGCCCCTCTTTTTGACCTGGCACTGTTTTACAGCAGGGACAGAGAACCTCTTTTTCTCTCAAGAGCCATATTTCCTCAGTGGTGCTGTGTTGAGAATGACCTGATGGGTGAAGCTGAAGCAAAAAGCCACAGTGGATGATGGCCGCAACATTTTTCTTTTGTATTCTCTTTTTGCTCTTTCAGGCTAGAAAAGAGATGGACACCATTTAGTAGTGGTGTGAAAACTGGTCTCTTGAACAGAGTATTTTTTTATTGTGAAGGGCCTTGTGAAGGCTGCAAGTTGTCCACTCCTGTTCTTCATAGCCTATTTTTCTAGGGTACCAGTGTGGACCAATATTTCTGAGAACTCTGGCTGATAATAACGTTGAGCAGGACACAGTTTCACCAGTGTGAATTTAGCATATATTAAAATCAAGTTGCTCTGAGTAAGAAAGGAACATACTCTTGCTCTTTCTCTTGCTTCCTTAGCCACTCAAAATCTATGATTCTAAGAACAATTTTCTAATGTTTTCTTATCTCAAATTCTTATAGTCATAAAGTTAGTCTTGATTTGCAATGTACAGCAATTCTGCATAGTAAGCAAGGGAAGAATGTGGGTTTTTAGCTTTAATTTGTTTTCTGTTCGTGAACACAAACCTAAGTTGAAGTTGGTCAAGAATTATATATGAGCTTGGTTGTTTGTTTGCAGACATTTCATTATTTGGCTAAGTAACATCATCAGTGCTAATGAGTGTGGGGTTTGCTCCTGTTTATATATAGTAGCTTGCCTTGCTAGTGTTGGTGGGGGAGTAAGCAGGGATTAACACCAGACAAACAAGCAGAAAACAATACCCTAATCAAGGAACTACCAAGGAGAAAACCACACCCCCACCAACACTGGCAGGGCCAGCTGCTGTTTATAAAAAGGGAGGAAAACAAAAAATTACCAGCACTGATTATGTTACCTAGTCGGGTAAATGAAACATCTGCAAACAAACAGCCAAGCTCAGAGAACACCAAGGACTCCACAATTCAACCCTGAGCTACATATATTCTCTTCTATTGAAAGAATTATGTATCTCCTTAATGATTTAAATCACCTTTACTGGGTTAACTTTCCACTTCTACCTCTAAATTCAGATTATGTGATAGCTGTGGTTCACATGCTATGCTGTACTACAACTTAGCCTTCCAAATTTTAGCAATATTGGGACATATGAACACAGCCTGTGGAATTAGTTTTTCTGTTGCATGAAGATGAACTTGAAGCAATCACAAACTATGACTAAATTAATCATAGTTACATGATTGTGCAAGCATAGTCAGTATTAGTAGGGAGTTCCAAATTCCTTTCTGTAGCCACGTGGATTATCAGATATCTGCATGCTTGTGGGCAGACAAGCTCAATTCTGCTCTCACCCTTATAGTAACTTCCTTTTTTATATATATTTTTCTAGGCTATAGACAGTATTCACCAAGTAGGGGTTTACTGCCTAGCCTTGGTACCAGCAAACACACTCCCAAAGACTCCTCTGGGTGGAATCCACTTATCAGAAACGAAGCAGCTCTTCCTTGAAGGAGCACTGCATCCCTGTAACGTACTGATGTGTCCACATACCTGTGTAACAAACCTACCTAAACCAAGACAGAAACAACCAGGTAAGTCTAATGGCTGCCTCTTGGTTGTGACCACCTGATAAGAACAACTAGGCTGCCTCATAATTCAAGACCTGTTTGGCTGGATGTTCTGTGTGTTGGCTAGTTTTTGACTTAATCATTGGAATATTGGTTTGCTTTAGGTATTTGTTTTTTGTGGTTAATTTATATACCATCATTCTGTTTGAAAAGGACCCTCAAGGCAGCTTATAACAAAGAAAAATACATAAGTAGAAATTAAAACAGAATCAAATCATTCACCAAGAAAGGTCTGGCAAAAGTAAGGCATTGTTACAGATTTCTTAAAGGCAGGGCATTGTTGCAGCCCCAAAGGCCAACATTCCATAGTTTGGGATTGATGCAGGAGGAGGCCCAGATTAGGGACCCTCTGAGAGTTGGGGCATCTTCAGAAGAGCTTCTCCTGCAGATCTTAAAGTTCACACAGGTTGGTAAGAGAAGACATCCCTCAGATAGTAAGACCTAAGCTGTATTAACATCAGTATTCTAAATTGTGCCTGGAAAGCAAGTAGAGATCTTTCGGTATGATCCCTGTATCTTGCACCACTTTTATATACAAGAGAATGGGCTCCATTTCCAAGAAAATTACTCTTAACCAGTTCATAGTGCAAACTGTTGGTCCTTTTCTATGAATCTGCTACACGTTTTGTTTGCGTTGCAGAAAGGCTCTGGAGGGATGAGAATTCTGCTGGCTCCCTTCCACCTACTGAGGAAATCTGAAAAAGCGTGTTTTATTGATTATCTCAGATTGTCTAGGTTCAGCTAATCTCCCCTGCTCCTCAAATGCTAGATGATATTACCAAAGTATAGTAAGAGGAGATAAAAGTCCCTGCTGACCAGCGCTGTCTCATTTCCTCTCACGATTTCAAAGAACAAGTTTTGGAAATCAGAGCTACAAGGTCTGAGCTATAGAAATCTGAAATCCAGTAATTTAATTTTGTTGTGGGCAGCCCCTGTTACTGCAGCCAAAATGGCAGATATGCCATAGGATTTTGTATGAGATAGTTTCACTCTAAATGAGGAAGCACAGTAATACGAATTTTAGTCGCTTTGTGTGAGATGGGTGGCTATATATATATATAATGAATTTTGCACTGGAAAGGAGGTTTTTAAATTTTTTATCGTCTTCCTGATGTACTATAGAAATTGGTCCTGCCTCTGTGATGGTGGGGAATCTGGTCTCTGGAAAAAGGATTGCGCAGGCAAGCGGCAGAGATTTGGGACAAATAGAAGATAATGATCAAGCTAGAAAGGTAAAGTGCTAAACCTTCCATAGACATAGCAGATAAAGAGCATACTTATCACAGATTTCTTTCCATTCAGGACTGGGAATATGAGAGTCCATATACTCAGATATACATATCAAGAGATGCATTTTCTGTTGCCAATAGGTTACATCAAGACCATATGTAACCTATGTCATATGGTAGTTACAAATCTGATGCAAAGAAGCTATTTTTGTCTTATATAATTCTGCATATATATGTATGCATGTTTCAATTTGGTACATCTTATGTATAGTTGTCTAATGTAAAATTGGCCAGATTAGCAATGTGCAGATTTAACACAAAAAAATTCTTGGATATTGTTCCTGATCATATCAGTGCAAACAGACAGTTCTACCAAGTTTGCAGACCATTTCAATCTATTTAGAACAACAATGAATTAATTGAATTATCTGTTGATTAATTGAGAACAAACAGAAGTTCAGCAGTTTATTTTATGTTACTGATTTTTAAAGGCTGGTGTTTTCAGATTTTTACCCTCAACGTCCTTAAATGTATTCCTTCACAGTAATAAGATCAAGATGGCAGCAGTTTGACAGTTTAGAAAAGAGATAACTCTTTCTAGGAGCTAAAAAGTGTGTAAAGAAGTAATTGTATTTTCTCTCTCTTTCTTGTTTGTCTTGTTCCCTCCACCAGTTCCTATTCCTCTCAGAAGTCTTACAGTGGAGGGCACAGACAACTCCTGACCATGTGCTTTATACACTACTAAACTGTAGGGTAAGGATATCTGTTGGCTGTGTGTACTGGAGAAATCTGCCATCTCTAGCCTTTTTTGCTTCTTGTTTTGTTTTCATGTTTTAAATCATTTGTAAATCACCCAGAGTCGCTGGGAATCTGGCAGCATATAAATTTAATTAATAATAATGAATCAACTTACAACTCAGAACTATTAAATATAAAACCAAGTTTGAAGTGACAAAGGTATATTCTACAATCATCTAGTCCTTTCAGAAGACCATAAAGACCCATCAAGGATTTGGGATAGGGTCGCTGGAGTGCCCCACTGGCTGCTGGATGTTGTGGAATGATTGGGTTGATCGCTGGGTTTGCCATTTTTTTTCTAGTTTGTTTTTTGAGGCATGTCTTTTTTATTATGTTGCTTTTATTCTGTTTAGGGTCTTGTGAACTGCCTAGAGTCGCTCTGGAGTCAGGTGGCTCCAAATTGAATTAAATAAACAAGTATATATTAGTCTAGAACATGGACTTGTACAAACTTTATCCATAGATGGTGGAGCTTGGAATGCAATCTGACATATTGTCTCTATGCGACATTGAAAGTTTTGTACTTTTGGAAAATCTCAAGCTGTTTGGCTTTTCTTTTTAAGGCCAGTGTTGAAGATGCTTCAGACTACTTCACCATTTGAAAAGGGTGATTGCCAATAAGCCAACACATTAGTTCTTCGCATTGTCTCCTTACTAAATTTCAGTTTGACTTTTTTTGGAAGAATTCTTCAGCAGTGGCAAGAATCTCCTGAAGAGTCGTAGTTCGCTTTGTGGTTAATCGGGCAAAAAGCTTTAAAATCTAGCTTTCAACTGACCTAATCAAGATATAGATTTTGCTTCCTTTATTTTTTTCCTGCTTAAAATGAAATGAATGTGTGGCATTTATATCACTGATCTAGTTTTGGAGGCTAAGGTCAGTAACTCAGTTAATGAATAAAAAGCTGCACATTTAAATTTTTCTTCTGTGTCTCTGCATTTTTTTCTTAATGAAGGGGACAATAGCAAACTCTCTCACCTGTGTCCAGTTACATAAACGAGCTGAAAAGATAGCAGTAATGTTGATGGAAAGGGGACACTTACAAGATGGCGACCATGTTGCTTTAGTCTACCCACCAGGTAAATTGTGCAAGTACACTTTTAGTAGCAACTCTGTAACAATTTTGCTGTCCTATATACAACCTTTGACTGACAGAGTATAGATAATGTTAGTTGGAAGGCTATAAACATTTTTGCTTCATGTATATGTCTTACTGGTTGCTATATACAGTGAATTTGTAGGATTATACCCCAAAGTTTCTCATTGCTCTTTCACAGCTGTGTTTCTTTCAGTGCATGGGCTGTTAGACCAACTGTTCCCATAGCTCTCAGTGGGATTTAGGCATGCCTAACCCTTTTATTTGCTCTTGTCCTTATTGATTTCAACCAATTATGCTTCAGTATGTGCCTAGAACCTCAGCCTATGTTGAACATGTAGTTGCTTAATGCTCCAACTTCCAGAATAGAATTGCTATGGAACTGTGAAGAAAGAATCCCATTATCTCACAAGCATGAGGGATATAGAGCTGAATTTCATGTACAGGTTTATTCAGTATACAATGGAGAGTTGGAGAAACAAATTTCACCTCCAGCACCTAAATAAAATTCACAATTGTATGAGAAATCTGCTCATCTAGAACCAAATGCATTCAAAACATTTCAGTAGAAGTAAACTGTACATGTCTCTCTCTTTCTCTCCCTCTCTCTCTCTCTCTCTCTCTCTTTCTCTCCCTCTCTCTCTCTTTAACAACACAATCTTATGCATGTCTGTTCAGAAGTCAGCCCCAGTGGGTTCAGTGGTCCTTACTCCTAGGTAAGTGGATATAAGATTGCAGCCTAAAAGCTCCATTTGAATGTAGGACTTCTGGCAGTTGTATTCCCAACACATCTGAACAGCATCGGCTTAGGGAAGGTAGATTTATGCTAACCCAACTGATGTCTTTAGAAATGATTCTCATTTTGTTTCCTCCCACACTCATAGTCAAATCTGTTTTTTTCATCCAGGCATAGATCTGATCGCTGCATTTTACGGATGTTTATATGCGGGCTGTGTACCAATAACAGTTCGGCCTCCCCATCCACAGAACATTGCAACGACCTTACCCACGGTGAAGATGATTGTGGAGGTCAGTGGGCCATTAGTAACAATTAACTTAGAGCATGCATGGATTGCCTTTTTCAGCCTGGAGTTGCACTTTTAGCCTCCAGGGGCCACAAGGAATAGATTTGCTGGTGCAGGGACCTAACGAGGGTTAAGAACTAAAACTTTTGGGCCCGGAAGGGAGTTGTTTCGAAGGTGGGTGCTATCATCAGTATAGCAGCTGCATTCTACATCATAGTAGAATATCTTGGGGGATGAGGATCTGTATTGTATGTCTTAACTTGAAAGTTTGGCATATGTGAGATGTTCTTTTTAAGCTGAAGATGTACTTTATAAAAAGTGAATATATACAGTCTTGTAATGTGAAGAGATTTAAATCTCTTTTCTTCCTCTCTCTTTTTCTGCTGAAATTCCCAGGTGAGTCGCTCTGCCTGTTTAATGACAACACAATTAATATGTAAATTGTTACGGTCTCGAGAGGCAGCAGCAGCAGTGGATGTCAGAACATGGCCGCCAATATTAGACACAGGTATTTTGTTTTTCCCCTTCATTCTGTTATGAATTTTTGCATCTTTCAGAATGCTACAAGAACCGTGTCTCCATTTTTCTCCATAGATGATTTGCCAAAGAAACGGCCTCCTCAGATCTTCAAACCTTCTAATCCTGACATGCTAGCTTATCTCGATTTCAGTGTATCTACAACTGGAATGTTAGCAGGGGTGAAGGTAAGAATTACACACTCACACTGGATAAGATAGGATAAGTCAGGATCCACGTATGGATAAGATAAGATATGGAGAACAACATAGGAAAAAAGTCACTTGTTTTTACTTAATTGTCGCTTCCATGATATATTATTTTTAAGGAAAAAAATCCCCTTGGTCAATTTTTCTGTAGCTTGCATGGGAGGTACCTAATTTTGTGGCCTTAGGATAAAACGAAGATAGCAAGAGCTTGTTTTGAGTTCTCATTTTTCACATGGTACAACACCCTTTAACTGGCATTAGTGGGAGAGTTTTACTTTCTCCATGCCAAGCATGTGGTCTTTCACTGACCCATGTCTGCCCTCCATAGTACATCTCTATTTTTACCATCCTCTTCAGGGTAGCACATAATTCCCAGCAGTTCCAGATTATAACCTAGAAATCAAATGGACAATAACTCACTCTCTGTTGTTTTTTTCTATGCCAAGTTGACTGATTGTTCTCCTTTGAAAACATATTAATTTTAATTATGTAGAAAGGATTCTATGTGCATTTGTTTCCAGGAGATGGAAATGGGGGGGGGGGAGGAAGGGTTGGGGGATGATTATTTTTGTTCGTTCTGTTACTAACTTAAGATCTGGCAATGCTTCAGAAGCAAACCCACAGAATGGCATAATTTATCATTTTGATTACTGCCCTGTTTTCTTCTTCCAGATGTCTCATGCAGCCACTAGTGCCTTTTGTCGTTCTATTAAGCTGCAGTGTGAACTCTATCCTTCTAGAGAAGTTGCCATCTGTTTGGATCCCTATTGTGGACTTGGGTTTGTCCTTTGGTGCCTCTGTAGGTAGGTTTTCCCGATGGGAACTGTCAGGCATCTCTCTTGGAAATGGCAGGATGTTACTGTTGGACTCTGTGTGTATATATATATATATGGAGGGTGGGGATGAAGTGTGCCACATCCTAGGAAAATGATCAACAGGTATATCAGAGCAAAGAGAGTGGATTAAGGCTGCTAGGTTTAAGTTTGAAGACAAACATATTACTCCTAGAGGCAAAATGTAGAGGATAAATGGAATTAGAGTCATAACATCTTATTACATTTGAGCAAGTGGGTATTTGGGCTATATACGACAAAATATTACAATGTAGAGCAATCCTCTTTAGAGTTTAAGCTAGCCATTTGTTTCTTCGAGCTATTCCATGCTGCCACTTACTCTCACTGGAGTGCTTTTAATGGAATATCACATCCATACTTTTTTTTATCACAGTTCTTGGCATTTCTCCAAATTGGCTAATATCTCCCTTTGAGTAATGCTGCTTTGGCTACATAGACATTAAATGAGTGTGCTATTAGTATATACCAAAGTGGGAAACATAAGCCCATAATGTTTGTTGCTACCAAAAGGATGTGAAGTGGGGGAGGCTAGTAAGGTAATCATGTCTACCGAGAGGAAGAAGACAGGAAAATCAGGACCTTCAGCCCACTTTCTCTTGGTGTGCAGGATTTCGATTCATCCTCCTCCCAATTTCCTAAATATTTTAAGCCAGTTTGAAACTTAACATAAAATGTCCTTTTGTTTCCTGCCAAACTTGTTCACTAGTGTTTCAAAAGTGTTTTCTGAAAAAAAATCAGATATTATTTCTGTTAGGAATTTCTAAGATTTTTCTTATCACAGAAACTACATTCCCAATTTTTAATATACAGAAACAGGGACATGCAAACCATTCATGGTTGGCTATTACAGACCCTTGGTAACTTAGCATATATTGTAGAATAGAATCCTCAACTCTATACTTCGTTGCACAGGCAATAGAACATATAGAGTTGATGCAACTTGATTTCATAGGTTACAGCTCTCTTAAACTTCTGATGAACCTCTTGATCATGTAACAAACTTGAAGTAAATTTAAATTGGTGTTTTTAAAAATGGGTACCAGATTGGGGCAGTGTTGTTTTTATTCCGGTTTGGGATCATTGCCATCAGTCACTGCTACAGGAATATAAAAAGGGATTGAACCCTAGATACCCAGGGTTTGCAATCTGAGCACAAGCAGCCAAATATACACCTATATATAATATAATAATAAAATAAAACCATCTGTTTATCCCTGTTATAGATGCTATGAAGTTGTGCTGGCCTGCTCCATTGTGATGTCCCAGAATGCAGCATTCTGAGACTTCCAAACTGCTAAGGAAAACCCCTTGGAGCATGGAGCCAGCCCCTTGGTAAGTCACGGCTGTATTGCGTGGTTTTGCAAAGTTTTGTTTTTGTTTTTATTTTATGTCCCAAAGGGTATAAAATAATAATGAAAAGAAACCTTGCAAAGCAGAGCAATAGACCTCTATCAAAAATTCTCCAGATTCCTATCAATTGGCCACCCACTCCAGCAGGATTTCCTGGGGATCTTTGTCAAAGATTGATGCATTCTGGGCAGAACAACAGTTGTCAGGCCAACGTGAGTTCATGGATACTAGTCTCTCTAAATCTTTTAGCTGTTTGTGCCAAATGCGTAGTGCTGGGCTTCATTGTGATGTCATATTTTTTTTCCTTGCCATGTTTTGGGTTTGGGAGGATTTTTTGGCAGCTCATCTCTTAATATTTTTATTCTAGCAGCTGTTCAGTTCGGTGTTGATTCTGAAGTCTTGAGCACCTAGCAAAGACCTTTTTGTTTTGTTTTGTTTTTTAATTTGGCCAAGTTTTATTTCTTTTATGTGGAGCCTGAGGTGTTATAACTTACTGATACTCTTGTTTCTGTGTGTAATTGTGAACTGCCTAGATAGTCTTTAAACTAAAAAGTTGAAATATTCTTCTGGATAAACAATTCTGTCATTGCCACCTAGAGTCACTTGTATAGTGAGATGGGCGGCATATATAAATTTGAAAAATAAATAAAATTAATTAATTACTTTTGCAAACTACCTAGAGGTATAAGGGTTGCAAGCTTGGTGCAAGAGCACTGTTCTTCATGCAGAAGATCCAGGTCCTTTACTAGCAATTCCACATTGACCTGGGAAGGATTCCTAAAAAGGTACTTCTGCTCAGCATAGAAAATACTGAATCCATGGGCTTCCCCACTTCCAAGGTTAGCAAAGGCTGGTACTGTTCCTAAACTCTACCTGAACTTATCTTAATAAACCAGAGCCATTTTGATCAAGTTACATACAAACTTGCCTTGACAGAAAATAGGTTCACACCTCACACTAAGTCTTAGCATTGTTTGATTTTGACTAGGTGGAATGTGTGAATCCAGCCCTTGTGGCATATGCAACAAACAGTGGTCAAGATAAATCATGGCTTAAGCATTGCCTAGCCAGAGTAGGTTTCAGCCACGTATGCAAACTGATCATTAGATCATTCGCATTTAAATTCCACTGAAAGTATGAGTTTATAACATGAGATGATTTGAAGCTGTGTTCGTATTGTTTAAATACTGCATTTCTGCAAATATCACCAAGAGGGAGGATGTATAACAAATTAAAAAATAGTAATTCACAGAAAAAAAATAATAAACCAATAAAACAAGATTAAAGATTCCCTTTAAAGTGGTGTGTTTCAAACAGAGTCTAGATAGGTGTTGGGGATGCTTTTAACTGAATTTCTGCAAAGAGCAGGAGATTCTTTCAGTGGCTTAAAAGGTGTCTTCCAGTTCTGTCATTCTGTGAAAAAGTATATATGCAAATCTCCCATCTAGAAGGCAACATCATCTTATTTGATCTTGAAAAGCCAACCAGGGCCAGACCCAAATAATAATTAAATTGCAAACTATGGCTGGTGTGGGTCTTCCGGGCTGTGTGGCCGTGTTCTGGAAGTTTTGTTTCCT